GGGGAGGACTAACACCTGTTTCGCTTCCTAGAAATGGACTCGGCACTACTGCGCCATCGCTGATGCCAAGCTGTCTTTTAGTGACGATATTGAACAGACTGTAGAGGAAGAACTGCCCCAGGTATGGGGTGGGGGGCAGCTGCTCTTGTTCTTTGCGCTGAGCTGGTCCTGGGGGGGCCCTGGAGACCTCATTCCTGTGAGGCTTCTGTTATCCTCCGGCTGCTGCTGTGGGGTCCTCAGCTCTGGGAGCTGGGTACCGAAGCCTGGCTGGCTCTTCTCTGATTGGCTGGCCGGCCCAAGTGCTTAACCAATAAGGTTCAGGACCATTTCCTGCTCTATGAAGGACCTGATTGGCTTTTAATGGTGGCTTGGGTTGCCTTTGGGCCCTGTGTCTAGTTCTGCACTCCAGCCTAGCCCTAGGCCTCCCCGCCTTCTCCCCTCAACCCTCCCCAGCTGCTGGCCATCTTTCTCACTGTTTCTCAAGTACAGCCCCTGGGGCATCGTAGCTCTTAGGCCTCCTATAGAACAGAATCGAGGGTTCTGATGGGGACCATTATCCTATGGCATCGCAGGACACCAGCAAGTCCCACAAATGGGGGCTGTCAGGAGCAGGAGGCAGGCTGTGGAGGGCAGTGGGTACTGTCTTCCCAGACCTCTTGGGGGCAAGGTTGGCCAGCTTCTCTGTATCATCCAGCACCCCGAGTTGGGCAAGGCTGCGGGACTGGTCTGATGAAGCTGGGCTCTGGTCCAAGCTTTCAGAAACCCCTCTTCTCTTTTTGTCCCAGGATATACCCCCCACAGAGCTGCATTTTGGGGAGAAGTGGTTCCACAAGAAGGTTGAGAAGAGGACGAGTGCCGAGAAGCTGCTCCAGGAATACTGCACGGAGACGGGGGGCAAGGACGGTACCTTTTTGGTGCGGGAGAGTGAGACCTTCCCCAACGACTACACCCTGTCCTTCTGGTAATGCCTCCTGCTCTGGGCACACCCGCCTTCCCCTCAAAGCTGGCCACAGGAGGCAACGTGGCCAGTGGTTTTCACTCAGGCTGGGACTAGAGTTAGGCCAGTGAGATGCTCACCGGGGTGCCAAGGACCAAAAACCCTCCTAAGTCAAGATCAATGACTTCTCAAAGCAGTGTTTAAAAACCCTAAAAGTAATGTAGAAAAAACCTGTGATGAATAAATATCACAGATCAAAATATCAAAATATTTTTAAACAGGACAGAATCTGACCCTGCAGTTAAATGAGGCAGCTCACTCTCCTCCCCTTAATCCCAGCCCTGGGGTGGGCAGTGTAGCCCAACCACCTAGAGTCTCCAGCCTCTCATCTGAGAAATGAGGATTGTAGAGGTGGGGATGTGTTATGGTGTCTTGCTCCTCCACTCCTTTGCCCCTACCCCCCTGCATTAAAAGACATTTATTGAGCACTTGCTCTGTGCTAGGCAGGGTGATTTCACAGTGAACAATTTCCCTGTCCTCCTCGAGAGGGGAGGCTTTTGAGGGAGATGTGCAAGGAAAAAGTAACTGTACTGAAGATACGTAATTATAGTTGGGATGACTGCAGGAAGAAAAGGCAAGATATTGCAGAAGTCTGTAACAGAGGGCTCTAATCTGGGTGTGCGGGGATTTATAACTGGCTGTGAGAGAAGGGTCTGAGGCAACTGTGGGGGTGGGTGGGGAAAATCATGGCAAGAAGATGAGACCTAAGGATGAAACTAGGACATGAATGGCACAGGCCATAGCGGTGGCTAAGACCTAGTGATGCCGGCCATGTGACGCACGCGTTCCAGACATGTTTGGGGTCTGGTTGTGTTTACTCTTGAGGACACCTCCATGGGGTGGTTACTGTTCTGCTTGTTAGAGGCTCAGGTTGGACAGAGCCCTTGCTCAAGGCCACTTAGCTCCTAAGTGACAGAGCTGGGGTTTGAATCCAGGCAGCTCAGCTTCAGCAAAGGAGTTAGGCAGGTGGAAGAACAGGTGGGGAAATAGGTGGAATGTTCTGGAATCTGGGCTGAAGGGCCAGCCTATGCTGAAGTGCTGGGTCTGTTCTGAGACAAGAGGGAAGGCCATGTGGCCAGGCATTGTTTCTGGCCCTCGGAGCCCCTGGCTGTGTCCCTGGCTGTGTCCCTCGCTCTGGTCTGGGCTGTGTTTGATGCCCAGCCCGTGGCCTGGCGCTGACAGTCCCCTCTCCCCGCAGGCGCTCAGGCCGTGTCCAGCACTGCCGGATCCGCTCCACCATGGAGGGCGGGACCCTGAAGTACTACCTGACTGACAACCTGACCTTCACCAGCATCTACGCCCTCATCCAGCACTACCGCGAGACGCACTTGCGCTGCGCCGAGTTCGAGCTGCGGCTCACCGACCCCGTGCCCAACCCCAACCCCCACGAGTCCAAGCCGTAGGTTCCAGGGTTGAGTGGGAGGCAGGTGGCCCCGTGTGGATTAGCTTCCCCACCAGAGAAGCCAGCCTGACAGCTCTGTGGGTCCTGTTCTCTTCACCCCTCAACATTGCCTAGGGCCTCCGGTTTCCAGATCCCCCCTGACCTTTGCCTGTTTTCTCTCTTCTCTGTCCCCCTGTCCTCTCTGCTTTGCCTTCTGGGCCTGGAGTCTTGGACTTAGATTTTTAGAGGTTAATTTGGCCAAGTGACGGTGTCCTGCTCTCAAAGAGCCTTCCCATTTGTTCTGAACACGAACAAGGAAACCGTAACTGTAAAGGTTTTCCCTTCATTTGTTTTTTTGCAGTTTTTGGCTGGGGCTGGATTTGAACCCTCCACCTCCAGCTGTTGGGGCTGGCACCCTACTCTTTTGAGCCACAGGCACCACCCTCCCTTCATTTCTTTATCCAGTCAGTGAGCATCAAGTTACGCCCTGCAAAGGGTCAACAAATCCTGGAAATAAAGAGAAATACAATTTTTGAGCAGAAGGCTGATGAGATTGGCATTTCTGAGGACGCTGTATAACTTAGAGCAACTTTATTTTTTACTTTTGTCTATTTTCATACAGATTGCCTTTTAAAACTTGCTTTTTTGCATCTTAAGAAGTAACCAGAAAGCAAACAGAACTTCTCTAAAACTCTGTGCTCTTCTCCCTGCCTCTGATTTTCTGGGACCTGCAGCAGTGACTATGCCACTTTGAGGGTGGTCTTTCAGCTCGGGCTGGACTGAGCGATAAAGCTATGTCCATTTGCTCTCTTATGCTCCAGGAAGACCCACTCTGTCTCCTGGTGCTCTCAAAAATCACTCTTTCCAAGGTGGCTTTGGCCCCGGAAGCCCACTGTGTGCTTTCCACAGCCGTTTCTAGGGCTAGATTCTAAGTGTTACCGAGCCTGCTATTTTGTCCTCTGTGGGTGGCCTCCTGACAACTGGGGGACCTCTCACCTGGCGTTATCCCTGGCTTGTGCTGCAGGTGGTACTATGACAGGCTGAGCCGTGGAGAAGCAGAGGACATGCTGATGAGAATTCCCCGGGATGGAGCCTTCCTCATCCGGAGGCGGGAAGGAAGCGACTCCTTCGCCATCACCTTTAGGTAGGTGGGAGACACGCTCTCCAGAGGAGGCCGGGTGTGGAGGCCCCAGGGGGAACGTCAGGCAGAGGCTCACCTGCAGTGTCCTCTCTCCTGAGCATCAACCATGACACTGATGGTGACAACAGTAAACATGTGCTTCCAGTGTGCCAGGCTTCCAGGTGGACAGGTGCTCTGTCCACCATAGAGCAGTGTGGACACTGGTCACCTCCATGACCATGAGCCTTATTTTTTAGAGGAGGAAACTGAGGCACAGTGAGGTTAAGGGACTTGCTGAAACATGTAGCTAGTAAGTGGTGGAGCTGGGATTCCAGGCCAGGCAGCCCAGGTCTGTGATGGGTAGATCTGTAGCCGTGTCCAAGCATCACTGGGACTGTGGTTCTCTAACTTCACCCCAGACATTTGATTCTTCTCTTTTCCATGAAGATGGGGGGAGACCATCTGCCCACCCCGGAGGCCTCCTCTGTCTGAGGCCTTCCCTGCAGCTTGAGTGAGTCAGCAAAGACAACAGGGAAACTGAGTCCAGCACAGTGTTTCTCAAAGAGTTTGCTGGTGAGGGCCGTTGCCGTTGTGTTTGGACGCCAAGTTTCCCTGGCCTCCACCCTGCATGTCTACCGGGGGCCCCAAGTCATTGTGACAAAAATCCCTCCTTCCCTTGTCCCTGACACATACTCTTTTCAAATGCTCTGTGGTCATGGTGTGGAGTGGGGCGTTGCTACCCTTCTCTGAGACGTCCTGCCTTTAGCAGAAGTTTTGGGCTCATTAGGTAGTTACTATAATATAGCTTGGTGAGTGCTACAGAGGGATTGGTCAGTGGGTGTTGGAGGGTGAGCAGGAGCTCTTTAGGGGAGCCGGTGGGGAGTGTGTTCAGTGCAAGCTGAGATTATAGGTCTGGAGGAACCTCACCTCCCTCCTTCCCCTCCACCCCTCAGGTATTACAGAGGGCTTCTCCTTATCGGGCATCACCGTTATGGGCTTGGTGAACTTCTGGGTAGATATCCACAGGATAGCAGAAGTGTCCACTTTCAAGTCCATAAAATGGAGAGATGACGTTGTCTGGCTGTGAATAGTGGGAGGCACCCCTTGGAGGATGAGGGGCTCCTGGCTGAAGCTGGGGTCTTGGGCTGTGGTGTCCACCTGCTTGTAGCAACACACCCCAGGAGGATGGAAAATGCAACTTAAATCCCAGCCCTGTTCCTGTTGCCACTTTTGATTAATTTTTTTTTTTTTTTTGGATCCCAAACACAAGGCCAAGGGCTTTCCCTGGATGACCTAAGAGATGATCATCCCAGCCCTGTCCATGAGATGGGATTTGCAGGTCCTCAGGACTATAGATAAGGAAACTGAGGCTCGGAGAGGTTCCCCGAGGAGGGAGCCAGAGCCTGACCCAGCACCCCAGGCCCCTCCTGCCTGAGGAACTCTTGTAACAAATTTTAAAATTAATTTTTATTTACATAAATACTATAGGAATATATTCTCTTTATAAAAAAATTAAGGCATGGGTGGCGCCTGTGGCTCAGGGAGTAGGGCGCCAGCCCCATATACCAAGGGTGGCAGGTTTGAACCCGGCCCTGGTCAGCTAAAACAGCAGTGACAACTGCAACAAAAAACAGCCCGGCGTTGTGGCGGGTGCCTGTAGTCCCGGCTGCTTGGGAGGTTCAGGCAAGAGAATGACCTAAGCCCAGGAGTTGGAGGTTGCTGTGAGCTGTGACCCTATCACACTCTACTCAGGGTGACATAGTGAGACTCTGTCTCAAAAAAAAAAAAAAATTAAGGCATTAATTAAATCCCCTGTGGTCCTTCTTCATCTCAGTAGAGATGTCCTGGTAGAAAGCACAGATTTCTAATTGGTGTCTCCATCCCAGGGGTCCTCATACTTTTTAAATAGGGGGCCAGTTCACTGTCCCTCAGACTGTTGGAGGGCTGGACTGCGGGCCGTGGGACAAGTCGGCTGCTAAGCAGGACAGACAATGGTGGCAAAAACACCCGGTGGGCCGGATAAATGTCCTAGATGGGCTGTATGTGGCCCATGGTTTGTAGTTTGAGGACGTCTGAACATTAAAAAAAAAGATTCATATATATCTGAACCTACAGAAAATACTTAGTGCCATCTTACACGTGGGTATTTCGTTCCATTTAAAAAATATATAAATGGGATCATTCTGCAGCTTGTTTTCCAACTCAGTACTGTTTCTGTTCTTTTCTCTCTTTTCAAAAAGGGATAAATATTTAATAAAATATCACTTGCAAATAAACTGCTGAAGCAGAAGTCTGCTAGCATTTGTTTTTACAGGACTTTCTGAAGAAACGGTTTTAACAAAATACATCTTTTAAAACAATTAAAACATGTTTCTCTAAAGTGCACACGTTTTAAAAGATGAGTAGCATACCCATAGAAATTACGCCTCTAGATGTTTGCCTAATTTATTTTAACTGACAAAAGTTATATATATTTATGTACAACATGATGTTTTAAAACATGTATACATTGTAGAATGGCTAAATTGAAGTAACGTAGGCGTTACCTAACTACTCGTTTCGTTTTTTTTTTTTTTTTTTTTTTT